GGCAGTGACTTTGCAATACAGGAAAGCTGAAGGTTTCTCAGACAAGTGGACGTAATCATTTATGAAGGTCAGATACTTTGCAACCTCAGTATAGACGCTAGGATGGTTGGCGAGGCCACAACTGCCAGGACTCCCATGACTCATGATTCCCACCTGCACAAGTTTCTCCCTTTTACGACACACCAGGGGACCACCATAGTTTCCCTGTGGAAATGAAACACACAACACTGATTAGTGTGGCCTTTTTGTTCCTGTTTAGGTCTCATTTAAAACACAGCAGATTCAATTATACACTAAAAAGTAACTAGTAACTACAGCTGTCAAGTGACTTCAGTTGAGTGAAACTAAAGTACTTCATGTGTGATAAATCAAGTGTTTTCAAAGGTATAATCATCTATTCAATTAAATGCAAAAAAGAGTTTAAAAAACTCATATAAAATAAAACTCACTTTGCAGGCATCCCTTCCCTTCCTGCTGGCACCACAAAGTGTATTATGGGCTATCTGAGGATATGTCTTGTTACAGGTACTCCAAGACATGATGGAAATCCTCAGCTGTTGAAGGGTTTTTGGAAATGGCAGTGGTACTGCATGGACACACAGGAAAAGTATGGAAGTGACGGTTTGGAGCTAAATCGGTTTTATTTGAAAAAGTGATTTGAAATAGAAATTTTACATTTTGGTGTTTAACAAATTAAAAAATGTCTTTCAAACACTAAATGAAAACTATTATATTGAATGAATTATTTTTTCAAGCAAATCTTTTTTTGTTTTTAGAGTTTCAAGGGGTTTGTCTACTATTTCTTTATTTTATTATAAATCTAAAATTTTTGTTTCAATCCCGTTTTTCATATTTCACGTCTTTTTTTTCTGCTTCAGACTTGTGGGCATGTATCAAAGGGCGGGGCATAAACTAATGATTGACAGCTCCTGTGTCGTGTTCGTTAAAAGTTAAAAATGAGCCCTTTGGTTAAAGATGGCGCTCCTTCAATGAATGTTGCCAGCACTAGCCGAACAATAAAGACATACGGTTTCTGATGAGCCTGTGATGGACCATATTGATATACACTGAAATTATAGATGTATTAATGTGGATGTGATATTCTGGATTAGGCTCTTCGAAAAGATCAGGACAGAAGGACGTGATACGTGCTTTATTGAACAGCAGGACATCACACACAAACTTGTTGTTTTTCTTAGCGGTGCACAAGCTACCTTTTTTTGTTATGTTGGTCAACCAAGAACTAGCCCTGTAACAAGCACTTCTGTATTTTACCACTGGGGGGCTACAATTCACTCTATTACAGTGGGGGATTCAAATTTGAAAATGATGTCTAGAATTTGAGGTCGAGTCTTCGATTCTTCTCCAGTTTATAGCTCAGCTCAGCCCAGCCAATCAGAAAACAATATTCTCTGTTGCTGGGGTAAAACTGGAGCTGTCAATCATTTGTATGTGCCCCGCCCCTCCTTTTTGTACACGCCCACAACACACAACGGGCTCAAAGGTCTGAAACTGAAGAAGAAAAAAAACAAGTGAAAAACAAACAAAAAAACAAAAAAACGAAACATTATCAATGAAAACGAATAATTCAGTCCAAATAAAATAATTCTTTTTTTTCTATACACACTCTATTCAATATCATTTGGAATTTCATTTTCAAATCACTTTTCAAATTAATAAAACTTCTGACGATGATTTAGCTCCTCAGTGATGTTTCTTATTTGTAAAATGCTTTGCACGTTATAAATATCTGTTTTATTGGTGACAGTATGGATAATTACAATGGAGTACAATGTGAGCTTGCCTTGATACAGCATGTACACTTTAAAGCCTACTTTCTGTGCTTAACTTACCACCATTTCCCACTTCCCCCCAGCCAGTGATCCAGCACTCAGATGATGGACCAAAGGTGTCATCCTTGTCAGGCAGAGCCACTGGTGCAACATCTTTTGAAAATGTAATCGGTTTCTTCAGCTTGATCAGAGCAATGTCATTTTCGTAGTTGCTGTTGCCCAGGTCTCGGTATTGAACAATATTGGCTATACCCATGTAACGGTGAGCCGCCTTTTGCAGCTGATATGCGCCGACAACAACGAACGATCGACGATAATCATAACTGCATGACAAGAGAAACACACACATTAAGTCTCATGTATTTTGGAATGACCAAGCCTTCAACAAAACAACACTACACATGGGTTTTGTGGACACTGGTGCATTCAGCAGTTTAAAGGGCTTTTTGTTTTTTCATAGTTGGCAGGAACTAAAAGAAAAGGAGCTGCAGTGGAGTAAACATTACATTAGTTTGGACTTGATGCAGTGTCTGCTGGGTGTGTAAATATGCAGCTACTCACTAAAAACACAGCTTAAGATGCTGAAATGTGCATATGGTGTATTTAAATACTGACTGAGGCCTCAAGGTCTGACAAGTTAGGCGAGTGGGAAAGTGTCCTGAAATGATTTTGTCTTTATTGGCCACCAGTGAACGTCCCTATGAGTAATTATTCTCCCAAAATACTCACATGCAGTGTGAAGCTTTTTTGTTCTGACTGCTCTGGAGGATGTTCATAAAAATAATGAGGCACGTTTCTGCAAACACACACAGACTTACTTAGCCACGCACTGTGCAGAAGTCAGCACCCACTGCTTTGCAACGATGGTGCCGCCGCAGCCCCATTTCACCATTTTCGAATCATGAGATGTCATGTTGAGGTGAACCATCCATGGCCAACTTTCCTTTTTGGCATCCTCTGCACCAATGATGGAGCTCCTCACTTCATTTCCCAGTAGACCTGAAAAACACAAACAAAATGCTGGATGTAAGTTTGAGGCATCTAAGAAAATTAAATCCCATCAAAGTAAGAGCTGTTTGCTATTTTGCTCAGAATGGATGATAAACATTAGAGCATCAGTCTATCGAGGCTGCACTCTGAAATCTGGGCTCTGGAGTTGGGAAATTAAGGTTCAGCATTTTTCTCTCTCACCACCACTGTTGTGGAGCAGTACCAACACAGTTAGCAGAAGTTTGCAGAAAGCCATGGCCGTGATGAAGAACAGTGTAGCAGTACCTCTGTGTGGTGAGGGGGGAACAAGTGCAGCTTTATATGCACAGCTGGAGAGATGACTATCATTAGTCCCGCCCTTTACATCTCAAACCACACCTAAAAAAAATGTACATGTGTTTTTCACATACAGTGGAAAAATTGTTGAAGAGTTTGGTTGAATATTCTGGCAACGTGCCAAAAATATACATTTTGAACAATCGAATGCCATCTTTGATGAAAGAGTTTAATTCTTTTATTTGATTTATCTGCACTGCAGACCTGTTAGTGTGACACATTGTGCTTGAAAAGTTACCTGCTACTGCTGTGTTTAATTTCCACTTAAATTATCTAAAACTGGGGGGTGGTGGAGTTAAAGTGTAAGGCATAAAAGGTGTGGTCTCAGTAGAATTTCCATCTCCACCCTAAATGACCTTAGCCCTTCCACCCTTATTATTATTTATAACCACACCTAAAAAAAATGTACATGTGTTTTTCACATACAGTGGAAAAATTGTTGAAGAGTTTGGTTGACCATTTTTCCAATGTGTCAAGGTTTTCACCTCTATTGTTTCATTATCTGCACTGCAGACCTGTTTGTGTGGCACAGTGTGCTTGAAAAGTTACCTGCTACTGCTGTGTTTAATTTCCACTTAAATTGTAATGATAGAGTTAAAGTGTAAGGCATAAAAGGTTAAACCAGATCAACTATGGGATTGCTTTCTCCTATTCCACTGAAATGATCTCACATTGATGTTATTCTAAAATTGTTCTCTGTGTTTTGCTAATGTCTAATATCTTTACTTATATTGTTAAACAGACTGTAGTGAACAGGGTTCATTAATATATTTTATATTATAATATAAAATATGCGGTGGTTGGATGCATCAGCAGGGATGATGAGACAGAGTACCGGGCTGTGGTCGACTCCTTTGTCACGTGGTGTGAGCAGAATCATCTGCAGCTCAACGTGGCAAAGACCAAGGAACTGATCGTGGACTTCAGGAAGACCAGGAAACACTTGACCCCTGTTTCAATCCAGGGGGTCAGTGTTGACATTGTGGAGGACTATAAATACCTTGGAGTACACATTGACAATAAACTGGACTGGGCTAAAAACACCACAGCACTTTACAGGAAGGGCCAGAGTCGTCTCTATTTTTTGAGGCGACTGAGGTCCTTCAACATCTGCCAGAAAATGCTCAGGATTTTCTATGAGTCTGTTGTGGCCAGTGCGATCCTCTATGCTGTTGCATGCTGGGGGAGCAGGCTGAGGGTCGCAGATGCCAACAGACTCGATAAACTGAATCCGTAAGGCCAGTAATGTTGTGGGGATGGAGCTGGACTCCCTCAAGGTGGTGTCGGAGAGGCGGATGCTGTCCAAGATAAAGACAATGTTGGATAACACCTCCCACCCACATATCTATTATATCATATTTATTAATAATATATATATATATGTATATATATATATTGTACTATTCTTAGTTAGCGTATTGTCTGTCTTGTTAATGTTTGTTTATAATGGAGAAGTGTAACAAAAAATAATTTCCCCCAGGGATCAATAAAGTGTTCTGATTCTGAAAATAAAGTGTTTTGCAAGTATCTTTATGATGTGTTATTGAACCTATATTATAGTCAGTCCTCTTTTTAGAAGTCCGTTTTTGGTTTACTGAACTGTGATTTTGTATTTGTTACGATCTCTGAAGGAGGCATTTTTTGATGGAAAGACTTTTTTACCAGATAAAAAAAGGAGAAACATAACGATCACTTTTCCCAAGCCGATTGCAGCTTCTACCTGCTGATAAGAACAACGTTTCATCACTCACGAAGATCTGTTTGACATATTATAATAAAAATCCAACTGTGTTCTTGACATTATTTGAATTTGAGCAAACGTAATGTCTCAGGCGGATCAGGAACGTTCAGAGCTGATATTGTTTCCGCGGGGAGGTTTTAGGTTGAAGCGCCGTCTCTGGTCCTTCGTCGGTGAGGTTTGTGAAAGTTGCTGAGCTGAGGACCGTAAAAGCAGTTACGGGGCGTTCTTAGTGACAGCTTCTCGCCAGTGTTGGTGGGAGCTCAGAGCCTGTTAGAATGAGAGCTGTGTGCTTTTCAGCGGTTCGAGACCAACTCAGTTTCTCTTTCATTTAGCTTGGACTGGTTTGTAAACATGGAGCAGCCAGCCAGTGTCAACTCAGATCCTCTTCAGCGACTTGACGGTACCGGTGAGTGTGTCAGCGGCGGACTCGTGTAACTATCAGCATTATTGCTCCGTGAGTCCCTAACGTTTGCTTTATCCTCTCATTTATAGGTCGTTGCGTACAAATCCGCAACTGGATTGGATTTTGGTGAGTGTCCCGATATTTTCAACAGATCACCAATAAGAAAGATCCCTCTTATTTCATCTAAATACATGTTGTGTCGTATCTGTAGTAAAAGACGTTGTTCGCTCGTAAGTACTTCTTATGCGAATAAAAAGTGCTGACTGTGAAAGTGAAGTCCACAGCTTCGTCATCTCTCATTTCTCCCTAAACTTTAATGGGATGTGATAAGAACCTATAGATACACGTCATTGCTATGTTTATTCACACGCAGAAATGAGGAAATGTTTTTAGGTCTTATTTGTAGTCTTCCTCTCACCATTAATCGGATCTTCCAGCTGTGGGCCCCGCCCCTTTTATGTATTTAGCTCCTCCAGCAAGCCTTCCTAAGACCACATGCACTTCAGGAATTGCTTCAAGGTGGCACATTAAGATTGGCTATTCACTGTGTGTGCAGTCAGGTCTTTATGTGGAAAAACGACAGACTTGAGTCGGCACTGGGAAAGCAAAGATGATAATCAGGACTGAGCAGGAGAATAATCAGTAGCCTCTCTTGTACATTCGAGTCTTTGCTTCAGATCTATCACTGTATCTGAAGCACAGTGTCATATGTCACGTCTCTTACTCACCTACTCACGGCTCAAGGTTCACGAGAGCAACGCAGATATAAATAAAGGTCTCAAGCATGTACGACAGAAAGGGAGCAAAGGGAAAATGGAGACAGAAAGGCAGAGGAAAGGCCAGGGACCGAGTACTCGTGCTCCGCTCATTGCAGAGACCTGAGTTCTGTTGTGTTTTGCATTTGCTGCATGTCTCTCCCTCGGTCTGTCTCTTTACGTTATTGCCATTCCACCATCACCTTGTAGTAAAAACAAAAAGCCACAAATAAGTCACAAAAGAAAAGTTGTCATTGAATTCTGTCACACTGATAATTCACATTAGTAAGTAAACTGAAGCACAGATGGAAAGCCCAAGGTGGCATAGCAGGTAGTGAAATGAAAAGGCACTTTAGCTGCTACTAGACAACAAACAATTAACAAAGGAGGGAGGGAAAAATACACAAAGCTATAAGAAGATGAAAGCTAGAAAATAATGAGGAAGCAAACTGGAAGGATGGACAGGAAAAAGGTGGAAGGCAAGTTGGAAAAGGAAGACTTTGAAGAAGCTTGAAAGAACAAAGGTTAACGACATGAAAAGCACAAAGACTGTGAAAAGGTCTTTGTTGAAAAAGTTTTAATATTATTTTAAACAATGTAGCCTTAAATGAATTCAAAAAACTAAACTATGAGTAGCTGATAAATGCTTGCTAATGCAAAAGTTTTGAAAGTGCACGTAATGAGTGCACGATATTTTGGGGGGTTTTATGTTGAGAGAAATTTTGCAGCCGCTGATTAAGTTGTTATTTTTTGATGCATCTCCGTATCTCGTTTTTATCTTTCCACATCTATACAGGCTCCTCGGTTTGTGCAACAACTCTTACGTGGTGATGCTGAGCGCCGCACATGACATTCTCGAGAAACAAGAGTCACGAAATGAAACGGCGTCTGTAAGAGAACAAATGTGTATTTAAATATGCACTGCTCAAATAAATGAAAGGAATACTTGATCACTGGATTCTGGCACAAAGTCTTCAGAGATGTTGATCTGTCCAATCAGGAAACAGAAACTGCTGTGAATGCATTTCACCTGCTTAGGTGCAAATGAAAGATGCATAAGGTGCACTGGAGGAGTAACAACAACTATTTCTATGTCACTGCTCATAGTAAGAGAAGGTACCTGCAGTCTATTCAGAGTGCACAGCTCTAACCCTGCAGCAGGACTGTCATGTGATGAGGAGCGCTGCCAGAGCTCATATACTCATCATGTTCCAGGCAGAGGATGACTTTGGTTTCCTCTGATTCCATTTCCATCGTTACATCTTATTTTTCCACAATAAACTGCATGATGTACTTTACCAGTTCAGATTCTCAAGTTAAAAATCTCATTCATTGAGATCTGATGTGTGACTCAAGTGTTCCCTTTATTTTTTGAGCAGTGTAGTTTGGCAGTGGTCACGATTCAGTCGTTCTATGTTTAGGGTTAAGTGAACTTCTCAGCTGTATATTTCTATTATTGTTTCCCAGACTTCAGCCTCACTGCACGTGGACTTCCAAGTTGGGAACAGTAGCAACAGTAGCATCTATGACTGCAACCCTGTCTCTACTGCGGTAAATAAAGGTTCACTGCACTGATGCAGTAAAACGTTTGTTCTGGGTGTTTAGTGTCGAGACAAATGTTATGAACTTTTGACTGGTTCACAGTTTGTGCTCTCGTTTAGAAGCGGTGACTTCCTTTTAAATGTTTGTTTTAAAAAAGACAAACGTCACATGATTGATGAGGTACTGAAACTAGTATAACACTTAACCAAAGAAGGATAACAGCAGGAAAGCTTCCTACACTAATAAGGCTAATGTGTACATATTAACAGAAGCACATTCAATCAATAAATACAGTCCAATATCTGGTATAATAACAGATATACTGTAGATTGTATCTTAGATAGTAAGTTAGGAAACATGTTCATGTTTGTAGTCAACAGTATTTAGCGGATCATAAATATTTCAGGGGAAAAGAAAAAGGTCTAACATGTGTTCTTAGTTTAATCCACAAAACCCAAAAATAAAAGCTGAGTTTTATTTCTGGTTGTTTCCCAGCTTCATTAAAACTATTGACAGATGTATGAGGCAGCAGTGGTGGGGTGTGTGGTAGGAGTGATGGATGGGTTTAAGCTGGGGGTGGCATCCGCACTCTTTACTGTGAGCCCCTTCTTGATTGTGATTGTGATGTTCAGGCAGGAGTCTCTGTGGACGATGATGTTTGCAGATGACGTTATGATCTGTAGTGAGAGCAGGTGGAACAGAGTGTGGACAGGTGGAGGTAAGCGTGGGAGAGATGAGGACTGAACATCAGTCAGAGAGAGAGAAGGTGAACATGCAAGCAGTAGAAATGGAGAAGGTAGATAAGTTTAAATGCCTGTAATCAGTCATCCAAAGTAATGTGCAGTTCACAACAGAGAGGAGTGGAGACGATTGTAAAGGGTGGTTTGTGACAGAAGAATAAGAGGAGGAATTAGGAATGCAGTAAAAGCTGTGATGATGTATGGTGTGATAACAGTGGGCACTGGCAAAAGGTAGAGCTGAAGCTTTTCATTAGGAGTGACCAGGATGGGCATGATTAGAAATTAGTATATCAGAGCGTTTGAACGTGTACAGAGGACAGAAACTGAAAATGCAGGACAAAAGATGTTAGATATGGAGCAGCCAGGCAGGAGGACAAGAGGAAGACCTCAGAGGAGATTGATGGATGGTAGTGAAGGAGGGCATAAGGATGGATGGTGTGGCAGAAACTACAAGCTGTATCATTAGAGACCTGCCATCTTCAGAAGTTTTCTGATGACTCTGCGGTGGTTGGATGCATCAGCAGGGATGATGAGACAGAGTACCGGGCTGTGGTCGACTCCTTTGTCACGTGGTGTGAGCAGAATCATCTGCAGCTCAACGTGGCAAAGACCAAGGAACTGATCGTGGACTTCAGGAAGACCAGGAAACACTTGACCCCTGTTTCAATCCAGGGGGTCAGTGTTGACATTGTGGAGGACTATAAATACCTTGGAGTACACATTGACAATAAACTGGACTGGGCTAAAAACACCACAGCACTTTACAGGAAGGGCCAGAGTCGTCTCTATTTTTTGAGGCGACTGAGGTCCTTCAACATCTGCCAGAAAATGCTCAGGATTTTCTATGAGTCTGTTGTGGCCAGTGCGATCCTCTATGCTGTTGCATGCTGGGGGAGCAGGCTGAGGGTCGCAGATGCCAACAGACTCGATAAACTGAATCCGTAAGGCCAGTAATGTTGTGGGGATGGAGCTGGACTCCCTCAAGGTGGTGTCGGAGAGGCGGATGCTGTCCAAGATAAAGACAATGTTGGATAACACCTCCCACCCACTCCATGACATGCTGGTCAGTCGGATATATATATATATAAAAAAAACACCCAGCACGCCCCTGCGGGCGGTTTATCCTTCAAGCTCGGGTCCTCTACCAGAGGCCTGGGAGCTTGAGGGTCCTGCGCAGTATCTTAGCTGTTCCCAGGACTGCGCTCTTCTGGACAGAGATCTCCGATGTTATTCCCGGGATCTGCTGGAGCCACTCGCCTAGCTTGGGAGTCACCGCACCTAGTGCTCCGATTACCACGGGGACCACCGTTACCTTCACCCTCCACATCCTCTCGAGCTCTTCTCTGAGCCCTTGGTATTTCTCCAGCTTCTCGTGTTCCTTCTTCCTGATATTGCTGTCATTCGGAACCGCTACATCGATCACTACGGCCGTCTTCTTCTGTTTGTCTACCACCACTATGTCCGGTTGGTTAGCCACCACCATTTTGTCCGTCTGTATCTGGAAGTCCCACAGGATCTTAGCTCGGTCATTCTCCACCACCCTTGGGGGCATCTCCCATTTTGACCTCGGGACTTCCAGGTTATACTCGGCACAGATGTTCCTGTACACTATGCCGGCCACTTGGTTATGGCGTTCCATGTATGCCTTGCCTGCTAGCATCTTGCACCCTGCTGTTATGTGCTGGATTGTCTCTGGGGCATCTTTACACAGCCTGCACCTGGGGTCTTGCCTGGTGTGATAGACCCCAGCCTCTATGGATCTTGTACTCAGAGCTTGTTCTTGTGCTGCCATGATTAGTGCCTCTGTGCTGTCTTTCAGTCCAGCTTTGTCCAGCCACTGGTAGGATTTCTGGATATCAGCCACCTCCTCTATCTGCCGGTGGTACATACCGTGCAGGGGCCTGTCCTTCCATGATGGTTCCTCGTCTCCCTCCTCTTTCTTGGGTTTCTGCTGCCTGAGGTATTCACTGAGCACTCGGTCAGTTGGGGCCATCTTCCCAATGTATTCTTGGATGTTCGTTGTCTCATCCTGGACTGTGGTGCTGACACTCACCAGTCCCCGGCCCCCTTCCTTCCGCTTAGCGTACAGCCTCAGGGTGCTGGACTTGGGGTGAAACCCTCCATGCATGGTAAGGAGCTTTCTTGTCTTTATGTCAGTGGCTTCTATCTCCTCCTTTGGCCAGCCTATTATCCCAGCAGGGTACCTGATCACGGGCAGGGCGTACGTGTTGATGGCCCGGATCTTGTTCTTACCATTCAGCTGACTCCTCAGGACTTGCCTGACCCTCTGCAGGTACTTGGTGGTTGCAGCTTTTCTAGCGGCCTCTTCATGGTTCCCATTCGCCTGCGGGATCCCCAGGTACTTGTAACTGTCCTCTATGTCTGCAATGTTGCCTTCTGGTAGTTCAATCCCCTCAGTTCTGACTACCTTCCCTCTCTTTGTTACCATCCGACTACACTTCTCCAGTCCGAACAACATTCCAATGTCATTGCTGTATAGCCTGGTAGTGTGGATCAGTGAATCGATGTCTCGTTCACTCTTGGCATACAGCTTGATGTCATCCATGTACAGGAGGTGGCTGACAACTGCTCCGTTCCGTAGTCGGTATCCGTAGCCAGTCTTGTTAATGATCTCACTGAGGGGGTTCAGGCCTATGCAGAACAGCAGTGGGGACAGAGCATCTCCTTGGTAGATCCCGCACTTGATGGTGACTTGTGCTATGGGCTTGGAGTTGGCCTCTAGTGTTGTACGCCACATCCCCATTGAGTTCCTGATGAAGGCTCTTAGGGTCCCATTGATCTTGTACAATTCTAGGCATTCCAGTATCCAGCTGTGGGGCATTGAGTCATAGGCCTTCTTGTAATCAATCCAGGCAGTGCACAGGTTGGTCAGTCTGGTCTTGCAGTCTCGGCTGACTGTTCTGTCTACCAGTAGCTGGTGTTTTGCGCCTCTGGTATTCTTGCCAATTCCTTTCTGTGTCCCACTCATGTATTGACCCATGTGCCTGTTCATCTTAGCCGATATGATGCCTGACAGGAGCTTCCATGTAGTACTGAGGCAGGTTATTGGTCGGTAGTTGGAGGGGACCGGTCCCTTCTTGGGGTCCTTGGGGATCAGGACCGTCCGACCTTCGGTTAGCCATTCCGGGTGTCTCTCGTTAACTAGCAGCTGGTTCATTTGTGCTGCCAGACGCTCGTGGAGTGCAGTCAGCTTCTTCAGCCAGTAGGCGTGAACCATGTCGGGCCCTGGTGCTGTCCAACTCTTCATACTGGAGACCCTTTCTTGGATATCTGCCACTGTGATGGTTACTGGACCCTGTTCAGGGAGGTCGCTGTGGTCTGCCCTCAGATCCACTAGCCACTGAGCATTGCCGTTATGGGTTGCGTCCTTCTCCCATATGCTCTTCCATATGGAATTATATATATATATCTTATTTATTTATTAATAAGCGACTTATATATATATATATATATATATACATATATATATATAGTATATATTGTACTATTCTTAGTTAGCGTATTGTCTGTCTTGTTAATGTTTGTTTATAATGGAGAAGTGTAACAAAAAATAATTTCCCCCAGGGATCAATAAAGTGTTCTGATTCTGAAAATAAAGTGTTTTGCAAGTATCTTTATGATGTGTTATTGAACCTATATTATAGTCAGTCCTCTTTTTAGAAGTCCGTTTTTGGTTTACTGAACTGTGATTTTGTATTTGTTACGATCTCTGAAGGAGGCATTTTTTGATGGAAAGACTTTTTTACCAGATAAAAAAAGGAGAAACATAACGATCACTTTTCCCAAGCCGATTGCAGCTTCTACCTGCTGATAAGAATAACGTTTCATCACTCACGAAGATCTGTTTGACATATTATAATAAAAATCCAACTGTGTTCTTGACATTATTTGAATTTGAGCAAACGTAATGTCTCAGGCGGATCAGGAACGTTCAGAGCTGATATTGTTTCCGCGGGGAGGTTTTAGGTTGAAGCGCCGTCTCTGGTCCTTCGTCGGTGAGGTTTGTGAAAGTTGCTGAGCTGAGGACCGTAAAAGCAGTTACGGGGCGTTCTTAGTGACAGCTTCTCGCCAGTGTTGGTGGGAGCTCAGAGCCTGTTAGAATGAGAGCTGTGTGCTTTTCAGCGGTTCGAGACCAACTCAGTTTCTCTTTCATTTAGCTTGGACTGGTTTGTAAACATGGAGCAGCCAGCCAGTGTCAACTCAGATCCTCTTCAGCGACTTGACGGTACCGGTGAGTGTGTCAGCGGCGGACTCGTGTAACTATCAGCATTATTGCTCCGTGAGTCCCTAACGTTTGCTTTATCCTCTCATTTATAGGTCGTTGCGTACAAATCCGCAACTGGATTGGATTTTGGTGAGTGTCCCGATATTTTCAACAGATCACCAATAAGAAAGATCCCTCTTATTTCATCTAAATACATGTTGTGTCGTATCTGTAGTAAAAGACGTTGTTCGCTCGTAAGTACTTCTTATGCGAATAAAAAGTGCTGACTCTGAAAGTGAAGTCCACAGCTTCGTCATCTCTCATTTCTCCCTAAACTTTAATGGGATGTGATAAGAACCTATAGATACACGTCATTGCTATGTTTATTCACACGCAGAAATGAGGAAATGTTTTTAGGTCTTATTTGTAGTCTTCCTCTCACCATTAATCGGATCTTCCAGCTGTGAGCCCCGCCCCTTTTATGTATTTAGCTCCTCCAGCAAGCCTTCCTAAGACCACATGCACTTCAGGAATTGCTTCAAGGTGGCACATTAAGATTGGCTATTCACTGTGTGTGCAGTCAGGTCTTTATGTGGAAAAACGACAGACTTGAGTGGGCACTGGGAAAGCAAAGATGATAATCAGGACTGAGCAGGAGAATAATCAGTAGCCTCTCTTGTACATTCGAGTCTTTGCTTCAGATCTATCACTGTATCTGAAGCACAGTGTCATATGTCACGTCTCTTACTCACCTACTCACGGCTCAAGGTTCACGAGAGCAACGCAGATATAAATAAAGGTCTCAAGCATGTACGACAGAAAGGGAGCAAAGGGAAAATGGAGACAGAAAGGCAGAGGAAAGGCCAGGGACCGAGTACTCGTGCTCCGCTCATTGCAGAGACCTGAGTTCTGTTGTGTTTTGCATTTGCTGCATGTCTCTCCCTCGGTCTGTCTCTTTACGTTATTGCCATTCCACCATCACCTTGTAGTAAAAACAAAAAGCCACAAATAAGTCACAAAAGAAAAGTTGTCATTGAATTCTGTCACACTGATAATTCACATTAGTAAGTAAACTGAAGCACAGATGGAAAGCCCAAGGTGGCATAGCAGGTAGTGAAATGAAAAGGCACTTTAGCTGCTACTAGACAACAAACAATTAACAAAGGAGGGAGGGAAAAATACACAAAGCTATAAGAAGATGAAAGCTAGAAAATAATGAGGAAGCAAACTGGAAGGATGGACAGGAAAAAGGTGGAAGGCAAGTTGGAAAAGGAAGACTTTGAAGAAGCTTGAAAGAACAAAGGTTAACGACATGAAAAGCACAAAGACTGTGAAAAGGTCTTTGTTGAAAAAGTTTTAATATTATTTTAAACAATGTAGCCTTAAATGAATTCAAAAAACTAAACTATGAGTAGCTGATAAATGCTTGCTAATGCAAAAGTTTTGAAAGTGCACGTAATGAGTGCACGATATTTTGGGGGGTTTTATGTTGAGAGAAATTTTGCAGCCGCTGATTAAGTTGTTATTTTTTGATGCATCTCCGTATCTCGTTTTTATCTTTCCACATCTATACAGGCTCCTCGGTTTGTGCAACAACTCTTACGTGGTGATGCTGAGCGCCGCACATGACATTCTCGAGAAACAAGAGTCACGAAATGAAACGGCGTCTGTAAGAGAACAAATGTGTATTTAAATATGCACTGCTCAAATAAATGAAAGGAATACTTGATCACTGGATTCTGGCACAAAGTCTTCAGAGATGTTGATCTGTCCAATCAGGAAACAGAAACTGCTGTGAATGCATTTCACCTGCTTAGGTGCAAATGAAAGATGCATAAGGTGCACTGGAGGAGTAACAACAACTATTTCTATGTCACTGCTCATAGTAAGAGAAGGTACCTGCAGTCTATTCAGAGTGCACAGCTCTAACCCTGCAGCAGGACTGTCATGTGATGAGGAGCGCTGCCAGAGCTCATATACTCATCATGTTCCAGGCAGAGGATGACTTTGGTTTCCTCTGATTCCATTTCCATCGTTACATCTTATTTTTCCACAATAAACTGCATGATGTACTTTACCAGTTCAGATTCTCAAGTTAAAAATCTCATTCATTGAGATCTGATGTGTGACTCAAGTGTTCCCTTTATTTTTTGAGCAGTGTAGTTTGGCAGTGGTCACGATTCAAAGTCGTTCTATGTTTAGGGTTAAGTGAACTTCTCAGCTGTATATTTCTATTATTGTTTCCCAGACTTCAGCCTCACTGCACGTGGACTTCCAAGTTGGGAACAGTAGCAACAGTAGCATCTATGACTGCAACCCTGTCTCTACTGCGGTAAATAAAGGTTCACTGCACTGATGCAGTAAAACGTTTGTTCTGGGTGTTTAGTGTCGAGACAAATGTTATGAACTTTTGACTGGTTCACAGTTTGTGCTCTCGTTTAGAAGCGGTGACTTCCTTTTAAATGTTTGTTTTAAAAAAGACAAACGTCACATGATTGATGAGGTACTGAAACTAGTATAACACTTAACCAAAGAAGGATAACAGCAGGAAAGCTTCCTACACTAATAAGGCTAATGTGTACATATTAACAGAAGCACATTCAATCAATAAATACAGTCCAATATCTGGTATAATAACAGATATACTGTAGATTGTATCTTAGATAGTAAGTTAGGAAACATGTTCATGTTTGTAGTCAACAGTATTTAGCGGATCATAAATATTTCAGGTTCCTGGAGGTTATGAAAAACTCATAAAATGTTATTATCATTATAGAGACATTACTGAGCACATACATTTATGTATTATATAATTTAGTTGTCATGGCATTACATTATGGTGGACCAGCCAAACACCATCACTCTAGTAGCACGCTCCACATAAATAAATGCTCTTCTGTTTGTTTAGCGGATCATAAATATTTCAGGGGAAAAGAAAAAGGTCTAACATGTGTTCTTAGTTTAATCCACAAAACCCAAAAATAAAAGCTGAGTTTTATTTCTGGTTGTTTCCCAGCTTCATTAAAACTATTGACAGATGTATGAGGCAGCAGTGGTGGGGTGTGTGGTAGGAGTGATGGATGGGTTTAAGCTGGGGGTGGCATCCGCACTCTTTACTGTGAGCCCCTTCTTGATTGTGATTGTGATGTTCAGGCAGGAGTCTCTGTGGACGATGATGTTTGCAGATGACGTTATGATCTGTAGTGAGAGCAGGTGGAACAGAGTGTGGACAGGTGGAGGTAAGCGTGGGAGAGATGAGGACTGAACATCAGTCAGAGAGAGAGAAGGTGAACATGCAAGCAGTAGAAATGGAGAAGGTAGATAAGTTTAAATGCCTGTAATCAGTCATCCAAAGCAATGTGCAGTTCACAACAGAGAGGAGTGGAGACGATTGTAAAGGGTGGTTTGTGACAGAAGAATAAGAGGAGGAATTAGGAACGCAGTAAAAGCTGTGATGATGTATGGTGTGATAACAGTGGGCACTGGCAAAAGGTAGAGCTGAAGCTTTTCATTAGGAGTGACCAGGATGGGCATGATTAGAAATTAGTATATCAGAGCGTTTGAACGTGTACAGAGGACAGAAACTGAAAATGCAGGACAAAAGATGTTAGATATGGAGCAGCCAGGCAGGAGGACAAGAGGAAGACCTCAGAGGAGATTGATGGATGGTGTGGCAGAAACTACAAGCTGTATCATTTGTGTCCACAGATGTTCAGTTGTTACATTTTTCTTGGCAGGCTGTGCTGTTAGCTGACATCCTACCAACACTCTTCATCAAACTGTTCGCTCCCTTTGTGATCCACAAAATGCCTTATGGGTAATTATTACTTTGATTGCTGTTCTTTGTTTCCACTTGCTGTGTTTTTACAGTAACTAACAATCATCACTCACATTATTGGTACGATCTGATTTCACTGCACTGATAATAAACAAATAGTTGTTTCTTTGACAAACTTGCAAATGACAAAAACTGTGACGTCCTTCCTGTTTTACAGTAGTGTGTTTGTATCAGGTGTCAGGATTTTAGCCCCACTGGCAACATGAGGTTTGAGTTTGGTTTAAAAAAAGAGAAAGAAGAAGAAAACAACAAGAACTTTGTTTTATTTGCATATTATTCCCACTCAATCCCACCTTTGGCGCTCTTTTTGTGCTGCTGCTAAGCTGCTGTGATGTCTTTTGGCAATAATGATCTCCATTTGTTTTCGTCTGGCTTTAATGTTTTCATGTATATAAGATGTTAAATTTATGAATGAGAGCTTAGCAGTGACCAAACATATGAAATTGGAGCAATAAAAAACCTACTTGGTTAATGGCTGTGCCTGGTTTCAGTGGCCCCGGCTGACTAATCAGAGCTGAAAAAGAAAAGAAAAATTGGACTTTATATGTTTTGTGTGTGATATAGTCAGGAAGTCAGTTGTTAACAGACCGAGTTCTTCTTGCTGTCTGCATAAAAACATCGCTGTCATGGTGCTTTCCAGCTTTCCTGGTTAATTCCTGTTCTTTTATCCCAGCATTCGAGTGTGGTTCTGTGCCATCATGGCAGCAACGAGTTTCCTCCTGGTGTCCTTCTCCTCAGCTGTGTGGATGAGTATTCTCGGTAAAGCAACCTGTTAATAATTCAGATCAGATCTTTTATCATTAAGGGTGTCTGATATGGCTCTGATGAGCTTTTAGAAGGTGGATTAGATAAAACTTTGAGTTTAATTTCTTCTTATCTACTGTGAGCATCTGTGGTTGTTCCACAGAAGCTTGATAGAGCTTTACTGCTGCTATAAATAATAATTTATCGTACCAGTTCACGCTTCTATCAAATAAACTCCTCCAGACACCAAACGTACCAGCCCCAAACTAAATGCTGCCACCTTTAAAGCAGTAGTGATACTGGCACCACAGATCTACTGGAAGAACTGGATACCAGATGCAAAGATGGCCCCTGCTTGCTAGAAATGTCCTGATAGGCTCTAAAGGGCTTGTGCAGCAAAATATCATTAGCAGTGGATGGAAATTGTTTCTTTTTTTTAATAGACAG